CTCGCCGCGGGCCAGTGGATCGGCAGCAGCAGCAGCAGCAGCAACGGCAAGCTGAAGCAGCAGCTGCAACACGCACAGCAACGCGAAGAAGCTGTGCAGTGGCTTAAAACCCTCGAGGGATTCAGGCAGGAGGTGGGCGGTTTGCCGCTGCTGCTGCTGCTGCTCTCATCGCTCCTGCAGCACCCGTTTCTTTTGCGCTGCTGCTGCTGCTTGGGCTGCTGCTGCTGCTATTGTTCGTGCTTGTCGCTGCTGCACGTGCTGCTGCTGTGTCAGCGCAAGCGCATTTTGCTGACATTATGGCGAAGCAGCAGCAGCAGCTGAAGAAGATCTCCGGGCCGCAGTGAATCTGTGCTGGCCGAACCGTGAGCTTAGACGACCTGCTGCTGCTGTTGCTGCTGCTGCTGCTGTTGCTGCTCAGGCCGTGCTGCAGCTGCGGAGCTGCTTGTCGTGGGTTTGCCGGGTGCAGCGGCAGGTGTTCGTACAGCTGAAAGACTCTCAGGCGTATGTGCTGCGTCAGCTGCTGCAGTGCAGCGTGCTGCTGCCGCAGCTGCAGCAGGCGGGGCTGCTGCTGCTGCAGGCAATGGGCCCCTGGGCCCCCGGAGCTGTGCTGCCAACTGTACCATTTTCTTTCCACATTGTCCCTTCTGTCACGAGGCCTTCAGTGTGTCCCCCGCGGGCAGTGTCTTCGTTGCTGGCAGCACTTGGTGCGGACCCTGCTGCTGCTGCTGCGCCCGGCAGCAGCAGCAGCAGCAGCAGCGGCAGCTCCTCCGCTGCTGCAGAGACGCACGTTGTTACACTCTCCACCAAACTGCCGTCCCTTATGGAGACGCTTCGGGCTCCCTACACGCCTCAGCACCCGGCACTGGTGAGCAGCAGCAGGTGTTGCTGCAGTTGTTGCTGTTGCTGCTGTTGCTGCTGCTGCTACCTGCTGCCGCTGCTGCAATTGTGGTTGCTGCTGTCCTGCGGACGGCGCCTCAGGAAGACGAGGACTCGTTGCCTGAAGAGCCGATGCCTCTGTTTCTGCTGTGCCGGCTGAGGATATCAGCAGCAGCAGCAGCAGGAGCAGCAGGAGCAGCAGCAGCAGAGAACAGTTTCCTGGGGCTGGCCACAGGCCACCTCTCCATGGGCCCTTCAGAAACTGTTGTTGCAGATGCAGCAGCAGAAGAGGGAGGAGATGAAGCAGCAGGAGATGTGCTGCGGGTTTGGCGGCAGGTGCAGAGTGCCTTGGCAGCTCAGCTGCTGCAGCAGCTCGCTGCAGCAGAAGCAGCAGCAGCAGGGGAAAAACAGTCAGCAGCAGGAAGCAGCAGTGGGGACACACTAGCGCCCCTTCTGGCCTTGCGAATGGTGAGTCGCGCAGCTGCTGCTGCAGCAGCTGCAGCACGAGGCGTCCTCCCCTCTCAGCGCCCTCGTTGCGGCAGCGTAGCAGAAGCAGTAGCAGCAGCAGCAGTATGCAGTGCATGACTTCATGGAGAAGAGCCTAGCGTTTCGTGGAGGCCTTGGCGCACGCAGCAACAGCAGCAGCAACAGCAGCAGCAGCAGCAGCAGAGGGTGTGCTGCTGCTGGTGTGTGTGTCTGCTGCAGCACCAGCTGTCTGCCGAGGTTGTGCGCATGGAGGAAATAGCGGAACTGCTGTCTTTAATTGCAAGAGCTTCTCTTTCAACAGCAGCACAGCTGCGGGGAGCAGCAGCAGAAGCTGCTGCTGCTCTTTCCCTCATGGGCCTTCCCGTCTATTCCCTCATTTTCGAGTGTCTTGATTACCTGCTTGCTGCTGCGCTGCGGGCCCTCGAGGGCTCCAGCCAGCCTGCGGAAGCAGCAGCAGCAGCAGCAGCAGCAGAAGCACCCGCAACAGCAGCAGCAGCAGCAACAGCTGCTGCTGCTGCTGCCGAGGC